AAAAACACAAACTTTTAGAACAACCTTATAGATTATAAACACAAGGTAAAAATACCAAATCCAAATGAATAAATAGTGTGTGATGTTTCAGTAATACCGTTGTTACCATCTTCAGACAAAATATTCAGTACTTTTGTCTGAAGATGGTAACAATGCTGTTACCGAAACATCACTCGCTTTTTCATTTTTGTAACCATTGTGTTGGAGCGGGTCGCTCCTTAAATAAATGCATATATTAGTTAATAACCAAATGGAATCCTCTCTTTTTCCCAGTAAGAGACGCCTACGGAAGCCAACAGTACATAGACAGATAAAGCACATAGGCTATAGTTATTAACTAACATATGCATTTATATAAGGCGCCAATTTATAATTGTAACAAATAGTATTTGAATCAAAACATTCAATCGGGTAAAACACGGGCGTTGCCCGGGTCATTCGGCTAGTTTTTAATATATAGCAACTCTCCAGTTAGAGGATACCTCTCCCTAAAGGACACTTTGTCTCTGCAATTAGGTGTTTCCTTTACAGGGAGGTTCTACTGTTTTTTTTTTTAAATGTCATGTGATACCCTCAATATATGTTCACACCTCCAATAGTGTTTAATTACATTGTGTCTGTGTTTCTAGATTTCAAAGCAGGGAAACCAGTGCACAAGATACAAATAAAAGATGAAAGTCAAGCTTCCCGTACAGGACAATAATGTCCCTAAAGAAGAAACCAAAAAGAAGAAGAAGAAGCAAAAGGAAGTTGTGATAGAAGAGAGTTTTCTACAGGAGATCAAGACAGATGAAAGCAATCCTCTTCTGCTGCCTTCCAAGAAGGAGAAGAAGAAGAAAAAAGAAGCTCCCAAGAAAGAGCCCAAAGTCCCTCTCTCCAAGAAGAAACAAAAACAACTCCAGCAGATTGTGGCCAGGAAAGAAAAGAGCGCCAATAGAGGGGCTCTCCTTCAAAGCCTGATTGAAGTCCAAGCTTCAGCAGAATTGAGGCAGAAACTTCAGGCTCAATCCACCACCAACAAGGGCATAAAGAGATTATGGGATGGAGATGAAGACAAACGGCCAAAGAAAAAGATCAGCGCAGTAAAGGGAGCCGCAAAGAAACTGAAGAGAAGTAATCAGCTTCAACTAGCTTCCGGAAAACCCTCAGAAGAGGATTCGAATGTCTTCATGGTCTACACACCCACACCTAGGGATGAAATCATCGCAACGGATGATGAATGTAGTGAAGATGATGAGGAGGAGGATGTTAAAGAAGAGGTTGACAAGAAGCCAACCAATCCTGCTGAGGAATCCTTGGAAACAGAAGAAATACCAATGGCTCAAGAAGAATCCACTAATGACAAACAAGAAGAGGAAACTGTAGAGGCTCAGGAAGAAGTTTCCATGGAAAATGACGGAAAAGAAGAAGAGACAGCAGAAACACAGGAAAATGATTCTGCTACTGATGATGATAATGATGAAGAAGAAGAAGATGAGGAAGAAGATTCCTCAGAAGATGATGGGGAAGATGAAAGTGAAGAGGAAGAAGCAGAAAATACCAAAGAAGCCGATGATATCCAAGAAACTGCACCTGAAAAATCCCAAGAACAAGAAGTCGTTGTTCCTCCTCTTAAGATCAACCCCAACTATGTGCCGGTGAACCGGACACCTGAAATAGAGAAGGCACGTAGGAAACTCCCCATCCTGGGAATGGAGCAGGAGATTATGGAGATCATCAATGACAACCCCATTGTCATTGTTCAGGGTGAAACAGGTTCAGGTAAAACCACCCAGGTGCCTCAGTTCCTCTATGAAGCTGGGTACGCCAAAGATGGTAAGATGATTGGCATTACGGAACCCAGACGAGTTGCGGCCAGCGCCATGTCTTTCCGAGTCAGCACGGAGATGGCCCTTTCTCACAAGGAGGTCTCCTATCTCACCAGGTTTGAAGGTACGTTCAGCCCGGAAACCAAGATCCTCTTCATGACAGATGGTGTTCTGATGAAGATGGTGGAGGAGGATCCGTTCCTCGGTAAGTTCTCCACCATTATCATTGATGAGGCCCACGAGAGAAGCATCCATTCCGATATCCTCATCGGTCTCTTATCCAAGGTAGTTTACCTCAAGAATGTAGAAGATGCTCATCTCAAGAAGTTGATTATCATGTCAGCCACCCTGAATATCGAAGAATTCACCAATCTTCTCTCAATCCCACCTCCCATCATCAATGTAGAATCCAGACAGTACCAAGTCACCAACCACTTCAACAAGTACACTCCCATCGAGGAACAATACCTTGAACTAGCCTACACCAAGATCTGCAGGATGCACCGCCAGTTACCAGACGGAGGAATCCTGGTGTTTGTTCCCGGTAAGAACGAGATTGCTCATCTGATGAAGAAACTCAGATCTACTTTCCCATCCAGGGCCAAGAAACAAAAGAAAACAGCCCAGGAAGAAGAAAAAGGTAAAAATGATAAAGAAGAAGAAGAAAAGCCTTCAAGTCCACCACCACAGCCAAACAAAATCAGCTTAGACCAATATTCCATAGAACCTCTTGAACATGAAGTCCAAATCGAGGGACTAGGTAATTATATTGATGACATAGACATACACAGCATTAGACATTCATCAGTAGAATCCCAGAAACCTCTTTACGTACTCCCACTCTATGCCAAGTTGCCGCCGCAGAAACAAAAACTGGTGTTCAAAAATCCACCAGAGGGGAGTAGGTTGTGTGTCATCGCCACCAATGTAGCAGAAACTTCCATCACCATCCCCAACATCAAGTATGTCCTGGATACAGGCAAGGTGAAGCAGAGGCTCTATGATAAGGTCTCAGGAATCTCCAAGTACCAGATTATGTGGATCTCTAAGGCATCCGCGGCGCAACGGTCCGGACGTGCTGGCAGAACATCAGAAGGTCATTGTTATAAGCTATATTCATCCGCAGTATACCAGAATGAATTCCCAGACCATACTCCACCAGAGATTTGCCTCAAACCTTTGGATGATATTGTACTTCAGCTCAAATACCTGAGGGTCCGGAATGTCCCAGCCTTCCCTTTCCCAACCAAACCATCCCTCGATGGCATCATTGCAGCAGGAGAAAGGCTCCACAAAATTCAGGCCATTAAACGCAACCCTGATTCCTCAGACAAAGAATACTACAAAGGTGTGATTACCAAACTTGGAGAGAAAATGGCCCATTTGCCAATTTCACCAAGGTTCGGTTTAATGGTAATCCATTCTCGCAAGGAACCTTTACTTCTTCCTTATGTGATTGCCCTTGTCGCCGCAATCTCCACTGATGAACTCTTCCTGAATCCAGAGGAAGCTGAATCAGAAGAAGAACAGAACTACTGGAAACAAGTCAAGCAACATTGGACATCTCAAGTAGAAGCCAAAAAACTTGGTGATTTGAGCCTATGCCTCAATGCTGCCGTGGCTTCCGAAGAGGCCGGAATGACTGCAGCCTTTGCCAGGAAATACGGACTAAGGATGAAAGCCCTCAAAGAAATTCGACAAATCAGAATCCAGATTACCAAACAGATGAAGAAAGAGTTTCCAGATTTGGAGATTTCCAGCGAGCTGAAACTAGCTCCACCTACAAATCAAATCTGTGATTTGCTGAGACTCTTGGTACTCAGGAGCACATTGCCCTATGATCAAGTAGCTCGACTGATGCCTGGTAAAAAGAAAGGAACCTACGAAAGCCTCCAACTTCCAGGACAAGCTGTTTACATCCATCCCAACTCTATCCTTTACAAATGTAAAATACCAGCCACTTACATAGCCTACCAAGAAATGGTAGAATCCTCTCAACTCTTCATGAAGGGAGTTTCCATTGTAAATATGGAATGGATATCGCAAGAAGCTCGTCTAAACAACTATAACAACTGCACCTATGACAAACCATTAGAAGAACCATCACCAAGATACTGTCCGGAACAAGACAATATCCTATGTTATGCTCGTGTTACTATGGGCAATTGGGACTTCCCACCAGCAGAAATCTTACATCCAGAAGAAACAGATAGATACCGTTGGTTTGGTTACCAATTCCTCAATGGGGATGTCTTCCCTTCAATGAAGGAACTCTCCAATAACTGGATTCTTCCACCCAAGACAATGGTGGAAACCTGGGCCCATCTTAAACCCCACTGCAACCTTCTATACGACACCCTGTCAAAACACCAGATCGACACAAAAGCCAAACTCCTTAAAAAATGGAAAAAAGACTCCACCTTCCTAAAAGATATTGTGGAGTATTGGTTAAATGAAGAGTCCACCAATTTGATCCATAATAAATGGCCTCCTCAGTAACCAATATGTAAATATGTATTTAAAAAAAAAAATGTTTATCCTGTTGAATATACTGTTTCATTGACTGCTGAATATTTGTTAATAAATCTAATTTTTTTATTTGTTTTTTCAGTTATTTTATTTTTGAACACATTATTTAATTATCTAAAACAGCATTGGGTAAGAGAAAAGCAGGCCTAATATATACACTCATGGACAAAACATAAGGAATACAACAAAATAAGACCTAATCCAAATAATTTATTAGTGTGTGACGTTTCGGCAACAACATTGTCACCATCATCAGACAAAAGAATAAATGAGAAAAAATACACAAAACACTTAATAACAGTACTATTTAAGAACTTGCTGTGGTATTTTTCCTCATTTATTCTTTTGTCTGATGATGGTGACAATGTTGTTGCCGAAATGTCACACACTAATAAATTATTTGGATTAGGTCTTATTTTCTTATATTATAATCTATAATCCAAATTGTGCTTTTTCAAAACATAGGGAAGTTATATCTTTTAGCATTTATATTGGGATTCGGATAATAACTCTGAAAGATATTTGATACATATAGTGACAAGGCAAAATTTGGATTATAGATTTTAAACACAAAATAATAAGACCAATTAAATAAATAGTGTGTGATGCTTCGGTAACAGTGTTGTTACCATCTTCAGACAAAAGTACTGAATGGAAAAAAGTTGAGCCAGACATAATTAGAACATGCAACCTTCTGATCTGAAGTCAGATGCACACCATTACACCACCAGCCCACAATCCCATTCAGTACTTTTGTCTGAAGATGGTAACAACACTGTTATCGAAATGTCATACGCTATTTATTTATTTGGATTTGTGGTCTTATTACTTTGATACACAGTGACCTTTATTGAAGACACAAAAGATAACCAAGTGTGAACAAAATTGACTCTGCCTCCAAAAAAAAAAATAGAAAGCTGCAATATCAAAGACTCTACATCTTTAAGTTTTGCCCATGGTGTATGTAAATTTTTGTGGAGAAGACTAATGCTTGATGCATATATCATATGTGTTCTAAAAAAAAAGGATTATTTTAATAAATTTCTATTACATGGTAGCAAAAGATAATGCAATGAATCTGGAAATAATTTTTGAGTAAGAGAACTAATGCTATGTAAATTTAAAAAAACTTTTTGCACAGTAAACATATGAGTTTATATATTAAATTATCTGAAATTTTCCTCTACAAAAATGATTTCCATAATTTATCAGGAATTCTAGATTTCCAGCTACTGTAGAACCTCCATGAGAGGACACTTGCGCTAGAGGACACCTCTCTATAAAGGACAGTTTTCATTTGCAAAATTACCATTTTTACTATTTAGCAACTCTCCAGTAAGAGGACACCTCTCTCTAAAGGACACTTTGGTTCTGCAATTAGGTGTCCTTTACAGGGAGGTTCTGTATATACACTGTATAAAGATGAGAAAAATACAATAAGGAGTATTTTCTTATCTCCACTCAATCATATCAGGATATCAAGCTTGTTGATGGTGTCTGCTGGGGATGAGTAAAGCTCATCAATGGATGAGCCAATGCTGTGCTTTAAGAGGGGGTCAGGGGGTTACAGGGGGGGTCGGTGGAAGGCTGGTTAAACCGTTTGGTTTTCGACCACTACGACCCGGGTTCGATTCCCGCATTGGACACTTTTTATGTTTAAAAAAAAAAATGCTCCAATGGCCCCCCGATTCTTGCAAAAGTCCAACCCCACCAGCGAGTGCAAGTAACCAAATGGTGCTCTGGCACATTTGTAAGTGCAAAGTCGAACTGCTTTCACGTGTGTAGACATGTGGTGCACTTACAGTAAAAAAAAGCAGTCGCTAACTACCCACCATGATTATCATGGCCTGTACCACGTGTACTAGGGATAAGCAAAAAAAAAAAAAGGTTACAGTTTGAGAATTGCACTTAGTACATAGTGGGAAAACCTTGCAACCATTCTGGAAAGTCATTGTCCATAATAAAAAGTATTAATATTATGCATTATAGCAGACTGTTATAAAAAATTGAAATTATTTTTGATTCTTTTTAAAATGAAATAATTTTCTACTGCCCTTACTGCAATGCTAAAATAATGGCCGCACCTGGCTCATCAGTGATAAACCTTTCTGGTTTCGCCAGTTTAATCTACCATACTGCTGTATTATAATAAAATTGACAAAACCACTGATGAACCAGACGTCTTTATGAATATTTTCATCTCAATAGAACCTTTATGAGAGAACACTCAGGGCTAGAGGAAATCTCCCTAAAAAGAACATCACCAAAGAGATGGAAGGATGCAGAGGGACAACCAAGAACAGGATCCAGAGAAGAGCCTCCCTTCAATGCCAGCCGTGGATACAAGATATGGAAGGGCAGTCAAGATACCTCGAAGGTTCCTGTAAAGTTAAGGGAGGAGATGTGCAGAGTATTAGGCTCATAGATTGTTGAGCTCTGGAAACCAAAAGGAATAATACTCTGCTAGTGATCTCTTTTGACTTGTATATAAAAGAGAGAATAATATAATAGGTAATAAACTAATGCTTAGTTAATCTTGCCTCGTCTTGGATAACAACACACTACTGAACAATAAATGACAGTAGGAAATAGTAAAGAAAGCATTAAAAAAAAGCTTGAAATCTGCTTCAAGCATTGACAGTAGAACCTCTCTAAAGAGCACCTAGGTGCAGAACCAAAGTATCCTTTATAGAGATGTGTCCTCATGAACAAAACTTAAGAAAGTGGAAAGTCTTTGATGATGCCCATGTTTTTTTATTTTTTTAAGGAGACAAAATATTTTGTTCACACACCACACTTGGTTATCTTGTGTGTCTTCAATAAAGGTCACTGTAATATATTTCAGAGTTATATTGTCTGAATCCCGATATACATGCTAAAAGGTACAACTTCCTCAAGTTTTGTCCATGAGTATATATATCTCAGAGCAACTAATTGCTAAAAAATATTTAATTTTGGCAATGAAAACTGTCCTTTGTATAGAGGTGTCTTCTATAAAAAAAGTGTCCACTCTTGGAGGTTCTGTGGCATAAACAATTCTCACATTGGAGGTTGAAACAGACGACCATATTTCTAGTTTAGATTTTGATAAATTCAAGTTGAAGCCTTCATCAACCTTTTTTATAAACTTTTATTGTCCTTTGATGTTTATGAAAAGGTGGATGAAGTCTTCAATTTAAATTAATTGGAAGTTTATTTTACATGGGGAGTTGCTCATTATACAATTCAAAATTTTCTCATCAAGCGACTCTCGCCTGAAAACAAGTGTGAAGAAATGTCGGGTAATCGTTTCACAAAACACTGATGCGAAATTCGGTAGAAGAATTCACAGTGATGATTCTTTTGTGGGCTGTTGCAAGGATTTAAATCAGATCACTAAATAGCAGAAAGGAGAGGGTAAAAGTCTCCTTCTAACTAACTTTATTCAAAACATCTTAAGAGGACAGAGGAAAACACCCAACTGGGCGGTAGCAGACCAGGCCGTGTTCTCCCCTCCCTCTTTAATCGCCGGCTGGCGCAGCTGGGGCTTGTTTGTTGACAGTCACCCGAGCCGTCGCTGTCCGACGTCCTGAAGTGGACTCCATTATTCCACACAAGATTATTCTCGCCAAATTCTTCAACACTGTCATCGAGCATGCTGGGGACATGAACTCCATAACTGGCAAGGGCCTGTCTAAACTCAAGGCGACTTTAAGCTTCTGATAGGATCCAGACGTCCCTTTGGAGAAGGCTCAGTCTGTTGTAAATATTTCTCTTTATTTTAAATCTAATTGTAAACCCTCTTTTTACTGTTGACTAGATGTCAATAAACTATTTTTTAATTGTCAATTCAAAATATTTTATTAACACTCTATAATTGTTACAAAAATTGAGCAAAAATAAATGTCATTATTTATAATTTGGTGATAAAAAGTTTTTCAGGGAGGCTCCTCCATCTTGAGACAGTCCTTCTCAAGACAAGGACAGAATCAATTTGAACTGTTCTCAGCTCAATGTTGAGATGATACTTATAAACACACGCCTTGTCAGATGTCAGGATGGTCAGTCATCCAGGCCTCACCTGAAGACCCAGCCCTACAGGTCAGGAGGCCGCCCAGAGGACTGTAAATGCCTCCCAGATGAGAGGCTTGACGCAGCGGTAGGATCAGTGTGGAAGTTTCAGGTCGCTGAAACTACAGGCGACGCTGGACTGTTGGGCCGAGGCTGGATGGTTATTCATTAGAGGTTTTACTCTTCTTCAAATTGGTTATTGATTAAATATTTTTATCATTATAAACGATTTATAAGGTTGTTTTGTTCTTTTTGTGTATATGATATGATGTGATGCACTAATTTTAAAATATTATCAGTAGAGAGTGTTACCAGTATTTTAGTGTATAGATATCTCTATATATATATAAATGAATGTTTGTATGTTTGTCTGTTTGTTTGTTGGTTTGTATGTTCTGTATACAAATTCGCAGTAGTTCACTAATTCAAACCAAAATTTCCATACATAGGTAAAAAAATACGGGGAAGACGATAGGCTATTTAAAAATATATATAAATCAATTATTAAAACTATATATTTTTAGTCAGAAAATGATGATGACGATATTGCTGTATCATGTTTGATTATCAGATACAAAATTATATCAGGAAAAATTCCAAAAAGCAGAGACCACTGGTGAAACCAGTTCATTATTTTGTACGCATGAACAAAATTCTAACAGAAAAACATTCATTCGAGCAGAAAACAAAAGCCAAATCATCTTTCTATAAAAATATCGCTTCTCAGACACAAAGTTTGGAGCGGGACGTTTCACAAGAGTGACATCCACGGCGCCAATTTATAATTGTAACGAATAGTATTTGAATAAAAACATTTAATCGGTAAAACCCAGCATTGCCTGGTCATTCGGCTAGTATTTTATATTATCTTCATTACAAAATATTTAATTTTGTTTTTTAATATATTATTTTGCCAAAGTGTGTAAACACGTTTTTTTTTTTAACTATTGAAGCTGTTGAAATTTGTGCCATCAAATTGCAAAATTTGTGGAAAGCTTTGCATTTTTGTTTCCATTTGTAGATTTTTTAATGTACTCGTTTTGAACTTAAATATTATTTTGACACAGAAGGCAAAGAATGTCTAGGTTACGAAAAGCAAAATATAGATCTAGAAATGAAATTCTTATTGAATTTATCTAACATGGAATAATGCATTGTAAAATAATTAATATTAATTTATCAATGATTTCTATAATTTTTAAGGTCATTGGAATGATTCAAAAGCGAGGAAATTGAATGCAGTACTCACTGAAGCGGTTGTCAAAAGGTGCAATTTGACTAAAATATAATTTCTTTCTAGATTTTTTTTTTGCTTTTTATAGTAAAAAGGAATATAAATAAAAAATGGACATGTGAGTATAAATGGATAAAAATCATGGTACTGTGTGACTTGGAGAAACTTTTAAAATTAATCACCAAAGACACATATACTTGTAATATAATGCATTACCGCGCCATCTGTTAAGAGAATTTAAACTATTATAGACGCGTATGATTCTTTTAAAAATTAAACAATTTTCTACTGCTCTTACTGCAATGAAAAATTAATAGGAGGGCCTGGCTCATCAGGAGTGAACCCTCCCAGCGGTTTCGCCAGTTTAATTAAACTTGTATCATGTCCTGCCAATAGTGTGGATGTGGTGCTGCAAAGTAGATTTTTGGAAGCAAGGTATTCTTTTAAAAA